CGTGGTCTTCGACAAATGGATGTCGACATTATTCTTAAAATGGGCTTCTTCATCCGCCATCTACATCAACATATTACAGACTTACATCGTAAACAGCAAAACAGCAAAGCAGCCATGCCATCAAAATTTCAAGTTTTTCGTGGTCAAGGCTTATCCATGGAAGCCTTTGAAAAAATGAAGAAAACCAAAGGTGGACTTATGTCGTTTAATAATTTTTTGTCGACAAGTAGTAATCGTGAGATTTCTTTAGACAGCTTTGCACGACTGGGAGCATTCGATGAGAATTCAGTTGGCATCCTCTTCGTTATGAACATCGATACGGCTATTTGCACAGCATCATCGACGCCTTTCATCAACGTCAAAGGAGTAGGGTTTTATGACGACAAAGAAGAAGAAATTCTTTTTTCGACACATACAATTTTTCGCATCGATCGTATAGAACATATTGAAGATACACATACAGATCGTCTCTGGCAAGTCAATCTCACCCTCGCTGGTAATCAAGACGATGATTTTAACAAATTAACAGCACATTTACGCACAGAGCTTGACTATGTCGGAACAGGGTGGTCTCGACTGAGTCAAGTTCTTATTAAGTTGGGTGAGCCTGCGAAAGCAGAACATCTCTATGAGCTACTCCTTGAGAAGGCAACTTCTGATGGAGGCAAAGCGCAGTATAATCTTGAACTCGGCACAGTGTATAAAGACATAGGAGAATACTCGAAAGCAATAACATTTTACGAAAGAGCAATCAATATCTACAAGAAAATGGGCCCTTCGAATCAGGCCAACTTGGCTACTTCCTACAACAACATTGGCTTGGTGTATTATAACATGGGCGAGTACTCGAAAGCACTTTCATCGCACAAACGATCACTTGAAATCAAAAAAATAGCTCTCCCTCCGAATCATCCCGACTTGGCTGCTTCCTACGACAACATCAGTTTGGTGTATGATAACATGGGCGAGTACTCGAAAGCACTTTCATCGTATGAACGATCACTTGAAATCAAAACAATAGCTCTCCCTCCGAATCATCCCGACTTGGCTTCTTCCTACAACAACATCGGTAATGTGTATTATAACATGGGCGAATACTCGAAAGCACTTTCATCGTATGAACGATCACTTGAAATCCGAAAAATAGCTCTCCCTCCGAATCATCCCGACTTGGCTAAATCCTACAACAACATCGGTATGGTGTATGATAATATGGGCGAATACTTGAAAGCACTTTCATCGCACGAACGATCACTTGAAATCAAAAAAATAGCTCTCCGTCCGAATCATCCCGACTTGGCTGCTTCCTACAACAACATCGGTTTGGTGTATGATAGCATGGGCGAGTACTCGAAAGCACTTTCATCGTATGAACGATCACTTGAAATCAAAACAATAGCACTCCCTGTGAATCATCCCGACTTGGCTTCTTCCTACAACAACATCGGTAATGTGTATTATAAAATGGGCGAATACTCGAAAGCACTTTCATCGTATGAACGATCACTTGAAATCCGAAAAATAGCTCTCCCTCCGAATCATCCCGACTTGGCTGCTTCCTACAACAACATCGGTATCGTGTATGATAACATGGGCGAGTACTCGAAATCACTTCCATCGTATGAACGATCACTTGAAATTCGAAAAATAGCTCTACCACTGAATCATCCCGACTTGGCTGCTTCCTACAACAACATCGGTATGGTGTATTATAACATGGGCGAGTATTCGAAAGCACTTTCATCGAATGAACGAGCACTTGAAATCCGAAAAATAGCTCTCCCTCCGAATCATCCCGACTTGGCTGCTTCTTCCAACAACATCGGTGCTATGTATAATAACATGGGCGAGTACTCGAAAGCACTTTCATCGTATGATCGATCACTTGAAATCAAAAAAATAGCTCTCCCTCCGAATCATCCCGACTTGGCTGCTTCCTACAACAACATCGGTGCTATGTATAATAACATGAGCGAATACTCGAAAGCACTTTCATCGCACGAACGATCACTTGAAATCCGAACAATAGCTCTCCCTCCGAATCATCCCGGCTTGGCTGCTTCCTATAACAACATCGGTTTCGTGTATTATAACATGGGCGAGCACTCGAAAGCACTTACATATTATGAAAAGGCGGAAGACATATGGAAAAAATCACTACCTTCAAATCATCCACATATTACACTTGTGAAAAGAAACATTGACAATGTAAAAAAGAAAATGTAATTGTTTTTCTTTTAAACAAGAAAATAAATTGGCCTTCTTGAACACGTTTGGCTAGCCGAAGCGCACCAACTACAAAAATTTCGTGCACGCCCCACCAGGGATGCCCTCCGTATCCTGTTGGGTTGTACAGTGGACAAAGGCGGCAATGATAAAGTAAACATACATTTATGTATACATAAGTAGTACATCCATGATCCTCATCTTCGGAAAGACGATGATCAGATGGATGCTTCTAGTCATACATACATAGATGTATGTTATGAAGGCCTACCATCTACACGCCTGTATAGGTTACCAACAGAAAATCGGATATCCCTGGGAAGGTTCATTTTGTTTTAGAGCCACCGTCGAAAGCTCCATTCGTTTTTAATTTTTTTGTTCTTCTGTTATGAAGAACGAGAAATGAAAAGACATGAAGAAAGACGACGTTGACGGCATTTTAATACACGCAGCGTATGATGACAGCCGGTTGTTTTAACGCATGCTATGATATTGAGTGCACGATATCTATGTCGTCTTTACATATGTTATGTTCAATTTATTTTTCTTTTCATCTGGAATGTGTAAGAACAAATGAGATGTCGTGCACTCAATATCAAGCTATACGAGTGATGACTGAACGAAAGAAGAACACAAAAAAAATTATCTACTATTCTCTTTGATTAGTAACGTACATATATATAAGAGATAATTGAAAGAAGAAAAATGAAAAAGGAATTTTTATAAATTGAATCATTTTTGTTACTTATTACATAACGTTTTACAAAAATACTATTTTACGATCATATTGATTGAATATAATATAATAAAACAGAAGTTCAAATAGATCAAGCGCAGTAGTTGATTTTTTTTTAAAAGAATTTTTTTATATTTTTTAATAATAATTTACAGTCAAAATTATGGATCTAATATAAAGATTTGTAGAATACTTTTTCGTTCATTGATGAAAGTGAATATTCAATCGACGTCAGACTTTTTCCGCCGACTATTCATTCATTTATTATGATTATCAAAAATGTTTAAACTTATTTATTTAGTTTTAAAATAAATGAATTGAATATAAATTAAACAAAATGGATAAACTAAGTAAATCACTTGAAGTTTTAAAATTATTTTCAACAACAACATGAGAAACATTAATAACCAAGTAAATAATTCAAGTCTTTTTCTGTTTTTTCATTTTGTTTTTATCTTTTATCGAACGTTGTTTTTTTTTATCTAGAGGTAAAGTTGAAAATAATTTCAAATCAGTTACGACTAAACCCCCCCTCATATTAGAAGCCCCCCTGGGCTTCTAAAGTATCCAGCATAAAAATTTTTTGGAGGGGGCTTCTATTATGTCCTATGATTTTTCGAAGGTTTTAGGTACTAAAGTTTTTCAAATGCTTTAATAGGATTTTCAGGGTTTTTTACAGATTTTTGAGGGTTTTGAAGAAGTTTTTGAGATTTTAATACGGTTAACTAAGAATTTAACACATTTTTACGTTAAAATTTTGTAATTTTTTAAGTTTTGCTGTGAAAATACTAAAAAATGTTTTCAAAAAACTCTCAAAAAGTTTTTAAAATAAGGGGGCTTCTAATATGTCTGGCATATCGAATCCTCCAGAGGGGGCTTCTAATACGGGGGGGCTTCTGATATTGGATGGGCTTCTATTATGGGAGGGGGTTTATTGTAAAAGTATTATAAAAGAAATTCTTTTTTTAATAATTTTGTATGAAGTATAAAATAGGATTTAAAAGAAGCAAATTTAACAAGAATTCAAGTTGAATCACATGGAATTATAAAAGAGAATCCTAATGTTGGATAAAAAGCATTCAAAGGTTTGTTTTATTTCAATTTCAATTAGATGTTTTATGGCGATTTGACGAATCAGCAAATGTAATACATTCGAAAAAGATTCAACCATTTTATCAGAATATAGTGAACTTATTTTTTATATTCTTGGTTGATCAATTAATGATGAAAAAATCAAAGTAAGTAAAAAAGAAAATCCTTGTCATTTAAGAACTCTCTTCTAACGAAGTAATCAGAAAAAAGTTATGCGATTGCTCTAGTTAATCGACAACGTCTGAGTCCATTTTTAGTTAAAACTTAGAGTAGGAGAGGATATTTTTCATATAATGTAGAATAGGTAGGCTCATACTATTTGACGAAATACCGATTGAGAAACTGTTCATCATTTGCAGTAAGAATAATAAAATTTTATTTATCATTAAATATCAATGAGAAATGAAATAAATTAGTCATAGTTGGTTCACTGACAATCGTTATAGTTAAGGTATGAAGTTAAGTGAGAATGAATTTTTCTTTTTTTTTCCTAATATTAATAATAAATAGTTTTTTTTAAAAATATATAATCAATTACTAAATTATTTTCAGAAACCTCTCATGTCCTATTCAGTCAATATGTTATCCTATGATTATCGAACGTTTTCTAATGATAAATGTAATTGGTAAGTTTTCTTTCAAATAATTATTTCAATTAATTATGATTTGTCTTTTATTTTAACAGATCAATTATTTGAGCATCATAATCAAAATCATAGTAAAATTTTAATAATTGGTTATCTTGAATTAAATATCAAAAAATTTCAATCATCATCAAGAAAAAGTCAACGATCAATAACAAGAACTAGAAATATGGGTACATATGAACAACATCTTTCAATCAGTATTTGATAAATAATGAATGATTTTATTTTGTATGTAAATATTTATTTTTTAATATGTTGATATGATATTTTATATTTGTTTACAACATAAAAAATCATAGTGTAATTTGAAATTCATTGGAAACACATGAAATTATATTTAAATTTTTTTGATTTTGATCAATTATTAATTTCAATTCAAATTGGATCTATAGAAGTAACTTGTATTAGTCACACATTAAACACAGGTAAATATTGTGAAAAGAGAACAGCAAGTTTTTTTTTTTTAAATAATAGATTATTCAACATATCAACGTTGATTTATTGAAATGAATAAACAACACGATATTTTAGTATATAAAATGAATGATGAATTATATTCAAAATCAATGATTAATAATGAAAAACAAACATCAGTTGCTAAACTTGTTAATCAGTTGTGTTTTTTTTCCAATTAGACATTTACTCAATGTGTATGGTACGATCAAAAGTGATGGTAAATCGCGTATTAGTATTAAATGTGCTACACTAACATATCTATCACATTTATCAATAATTTGATTATCCTACTGTAAGTATGTTTAATGCTTGTTTGAGACCTTTTTCTTTTTTTGTAAAGTTTCAGTTCAGTAAACTACATTTATTTTATAATCCAAAATTATTTCCAATGTTGTAACAGTAGGAGGACTCAGATGAATAGGATAAATCTGATGAAGGAGCTTGTAGCAGAGTTTAGTTGACGTGGCTTCAATTGGTTATGGTCTCAAAGTTGTAGTGAAAGTTATCTGATAGATATGAAGATTTTACTATTGAATTGTTGAAACAAAACAATATGAAATTTTAATCTTTTTGAAACCAACAAAAGACTAGAAGGGTGGCGTATGGATGTGTGGATGTGGGTGGTGGGTGTGGGTGTGGATATGGATATGAGTATTTTTTTCACCCACACCCACACCCCACACCCAGTCCACCCATGGGTTTTTTGTCAAAAAAAAATCCGATCCATGGGTGGATTGGACTTGATCCAGCCCATTAGGACCTCTGGTAGGAATTGTTGTATAATGGTCAGTAATATATGCGCACAAATTCTAAAATATTGTCAAGATTTGACTTCTCTCATTTATCGAGTCAACAAATGTCACAATATTTGTGTTCTCTCATGAGTTATCTTATGATTGATATCATACATAAAACAAGTTACTCACACGCAATGGGAACATCTAACTCCAATCTTCGATCTCGACGCTGGTACCAGAGAGCACTTTCAATTATACCTTGACAAATTTCTGGATCCGGCCATATCAACTACGGTCCCTCTCTCTCTGCATCTTACGCTTTGACAACATTTATTTTTTCTGTTTAGTTAAATAAAATCACTGGTAGTCTTTTATTAAACGATATGATTGATAGTCTATGAGTAGATTTCTAATCGGCATGATCAAGTGTCACGGAATTTCACTAAATGGGATTAGTTTTTAGAGTTGGATGAGAATTAGCATTTTACTACGAAATGAAGCAACATTAAAATAAATCTTCTATATGAAAGTTATTCAGTTTTCCACAAGCTTTCAAAATATTAGGTCATTTCTTACCGAATATAATTGTGTCGAATAAAAAACTAAAACTAGTGTCTGTCAGAGAACTTCGTCTTTTTTTGACGTTTTAATAGAGAAGGTTTGAGAAGTTAACATTTCAAATGATCATGGTTAAAGTTC